TTTTTTTTTTTTTTTTTTTTTTTTTTTTTTTTTGAGAATGTGCGATAAAAAAAATTGGCGATTCTGCCACGATAGCCAGTTTTGTCATGAATTTTGCGCAGTCCTGTCCCGCGGATTTTTGCCTAGTAAGAATTTTTGTTTTACACTTTGATGTTTGTAAAAATAGCCGAAATATTGTCTGGTTCCTAAGCTGCGAAATTTCCAACTAAAAATTTCATGCACCAGTGCGTGAAAATTGTACTTGGGACCTTGGATCGCACATGGACGATGGGAAATTCTTCCAAAATTTCAGCTTCCTAGCTTTCTTTTGCTCCTGAATTAATGACTTTCATGCCAAAACTTTCACGTGGCTGTACTTGAGACCTCGCTGGTGTATGTAAAAATATTCGACAATGTTGTCTGGTTCCTATTTTCCACTAAAAAATTTCACGTACCAATGCTTGAAAATTGTACTTGGAACTTTGGATTGCACATGAACGGGTGATATTCTTCCAAAATTTCAGCTTCCTAGCCTTCTTTTGCTCCTGAATTAATGATTTTCGTGCCAAAACTTTCACGTGGCTGTACTTGAGACCTCGGTGTATTCGATGTAGCGGTACGCAGTTACGATATGGGCAGATGACAACTGGTGTATTTTAGACGAAGGGACGAAAGGCAACACTTGAAGCGTTTACTCGACGATAACAAGCTGAGCCGACCGCTGAGCTTACATACAATGTTTTCGAATGCCCAAAAAGACGATTGCTTGTTTCTTCCCTTTTGGGAAGAACCCCGCCCATGGTCTGCCCCCTCCCCCTTGGCCAATGAAATCCTACTAACAAGCATTAATAAGATAACGTTGGCCTTCAGCGGTTGAGGGTGACCCGCAATTGGCAAAACAAGGTCAGCGATGGCTTGTGTTGACCCAAAACGACACAATAACAACAATTCGCTGCTTGCAGCGACATTTGGAAGCAAAATGTGAGGCCCCCCGTGTAGACAGATAATATTCTCCTGAAATCTCAGCCTCCTAGTTCTTCTGGTTCTCCCAGTTCTTCTGGTTCCGGAGTTATTAATTTTTCCCGCCAAAACTTTCGTGGGGCCATACGGCTGAATTTAAATCTGTGAAGTTGCAAATGGCCGGAGAAAATTCTACTTAAATTTCAGCTTCCTAGCTTTTGGGGTTCCTGAGTTGAAAGTGGGATAGAACGCAATCGGATATACACATACACAGGGGTAACATAACACTATGCGCTTTTTTTTTAGTTGTTACACAGCATAAAATGCATAAAAACTGGTTGTCATCTGAACACTCAGTTGTTCGGTTCTTCACCGTGTTTCACAAATCTTATCGAGGATATCAAATAATTTTCCAATTTTTCCGGAAAATGGTTCTTGAGCTCATCCCAGGTGCATATTGAGTCGGCTGATTTATTTTATAACATGAGATCCTCATCAGCTGTAGATCCTCATCCTCATCCTGAGATCCTCATCCTCATCCTGAGATCCTCATCCTCATCGGAGATCCTCCTCATTCCCTGCCATAGATGGAGCCAAAGAAAGTACAGTGCACTAAGGCATTTTTTAAATTTTTCTTGCTTTCATATCTTTTCCCATACCGCATCATATAGCATAGAAGTGGAAAGCGATAAATTCCCTTAAAATTAATATTAGAACGAAAACACATTGAAAAAATTGGTCCTTTTCATGATTGGTTATGTTGAGTGCTTTTATTCAT